TAGCTTAACTTTTAATAGCAGTCACAGCCAACGCTGTTTGTTTGCTACCTTAACTAACTAACTTTAACTTTAACGAATCGGTTGCTCATCTGACACAGGTAGCTTAGAAGTAGCTAACCTATAATGCTAAACTAACCCTAGGTAGGAGTCTATCGTAGCGTAATTGGTCTCGCAACAGTGTCCCCACAGAACCATGGAAGGACGACGACGCACCGACCGCTCTGACGACTCCGACCGAAGCGGCCGATCACACGCATACTCAAGACCGGAATCCCGGTCCGGCAGATCTTCCACTCGGTCGTCCAACCGGCCACCGAGTGTACAGAGAATGGGACTGACTCCACAGCAGAAGTATGACTCGGGATGTGCGGACTGCAGACGCAACAGTTTGGACGTGTCCGGCCGGAGGGAAAACTCTCGAGGGGAGTATTTCCCCTGCGCATACCACTTGCGACCCGGGTTCCGTGATGAAGCAGAAAGAGCCTACGGCTTCTACTTGGAAGTGGTCAGAGGCAACTTCGACGCGTACTGCCACATGACCAGCCGTGATGGACGCCACCTGATCCCCCTACTGAGGGATCATGAACAGATAGAGATCCACGATCTCTATATGCATCGTAGCGGCGACAGACAACCCGGCTGGAGCAGCGCAGAAACTCAACCACCAATCCTTAGCCAAACGGCTCTGGATAAGAAGGCGGAACGTGACTTTGACCGTATGCGGTCCCGTAACACGGGTTCCGACCGCTCATCAGGGCGCGGCCAAACGGCCGTCCCGAAAACTCATGACCAGTCCCATCAGCGCCGGCCATCGCCAGGCACTCGGCCCCACGGGCACGAGGTGTCAACTTCTGCGACATACGACCAGTTCATGGCCACCATCAATAGCCAGATGGTGGACCTCGTGGTCAAACAGCTGATGCAAGGCGGACTTTTAGATGCCTTAAAAGGCCAGTACGACCCGGCACGTGCTCAACAGCACGCGCCAGCGCCATTGGCACCGCTACCGCGGCAGCCAGATGACTTGCGCCACTACATCGACACTCGCAACCAGGACCAGATTGGTCAACAAAACCGTGGCCATCCTCAGGAGCGCCAGCCGCAAACGCGGACTTCGCCCGGAAAACGGAATGAGGATGGAAGCCTGGTCGTTTCCAGTACTAAGCGGCCTGAGCGAACTGTCAGCTCAGTGGCCCAGAACATTAGCATCCATGTCCCAATGGACGCGGATCCCGCACCGCCGTCATCGGACCCGCCGGCCTGATCTGACGTCAGCCCCACTACAGCAGACTTCAACCCATACAAGTATGCGGCCGACCAAGGCGTCAACATCCGGCCACGTCCCCATCGGGAGATGACGGACTACATCATGAAGGCCAATCCGTACCCACGGACCAAATGGGCCCAAATTGACGCCATCATCCAGGACTTGCGAAACTTTGTCAAGTCGTCCGGACTCGAAACGGAGTTCCAGCGAAAAGACTGGCCCCACACCTTCAACATGGACGAGCACATTGCAAACCGTGAAGGCTACCCGATCGTCCGCAGTAACGCACTATCGTGCGCTACGGACGTCAACCTGTTGGGAGAGCCCATTACACGTCCGGACTGGAATGACTTGTGCGAATTGCACATCCGGGATGACCAGTTGGATGTCGTCAAGTACCTGGCTCAGTTCGTCCTACCGGACGCGAACGCCAGCTTCCTGGTCACAGCAGCACGGGCCGCAATGCGAATCCCGCGCAGACCAGAGAGTTACGAAGAGGCCCCAACGGGTACTTATCATTATACTTGGAATGGTACGGTCATCCGTATCTTTGCGGCCAGACTTGGCCATCTGAGAAGCCATTGGGAACTTGAGACTGCCTACCGGCAGGGGAAGATCATCCCTCAACTTCTCACCCACGTGGCTCTGCTCGGAAACCAGATTCACGAGATCGAAGCAGGAGTCAAAATCCAGAGCGCGCTGAATACCTTTAATGGCCGCCAAAGACTACCTGTACAGCGATCCAAAGGACCATGATGACGCAGCCGCGTCGTTCGTTAACCGAACGGCATCGAGGAAACTTCCAACGAAGTTTCGCGCTCAGCGTTCGGCGGCATCATCCTCACAGAACCAGTCCCTGGCCGGCCAACACAGCCAAGAGGCCCAATCGACCAGCGCCTCCGGTCAACAAAACACGACCGAGCAGGAAATGGCGGAATACGAAAAGACTGTCGTCGACCCACTGAACCCAGATGGGACCGGCGACCGCCAGAACCAAGGAGACGCGCAGGGATAGGCCAACGGCCATTCCTGCATGTCGGCCCTGAACCGGGACCGACATTGGCCTGAACCGGACCTGACCACCACCATGGGTACAATCCAACGGTTGTTACCCTCGTCCAACAAACCTTGCCTACCGCCATGTAACGTCAACCTTACTGAACCAAAATCCCTGGACCCTTAACCGGATTCCCCGGATTGGCTCTGGCTTAGCGGCTGGGACCATGAATTTGGCCTGGCCATCCCAGACCATCCGACGGAGTCCACCGGACCGAACTTGGCGCGAGCTAAGTTCCCCGGCATGGAAAAGATCCAGCGCCCAAAAGGCGGCGACGGCCCGCATAGAGTTTGCGGTAAGCCATGGACAAGTCCTGGCCCATAGAGTTTGGACCAGGCCCGCTATAGGTCTAACGGCCCATATGCGGCTCACGAGTCTAGTTGCCATACCCCGCAACTGGGACCAGTGAGTAATGGGAGCCACATAGAAGTTGTGGTACGCCCACTTTTGTATGCAACGCCTGTGATAGGGGCAGAGGCCCAGAGGACCGCCCAGAGGCAAAATCAAAGATTCTCCTACCGGAACCAAAACCGAAGAACTCACCGCCCAGAGGCCAAATGGAGATTTTCCTAGTCAGCAGACCGGATACTCCGTGGTAAACGCCTACCGCCGCCCACAACTTAATTTTGGGAGTTTGGCCAGGCTAACCTGATGTTTTCGTCAGAGCCACTTAATTTTCGTCATGGCCACGGTCTGGAGAAAAGCATATCTGACATGGTACCTGACATTCGCCTATCGGACATGGTAGCTGACTCATGGCCCACGGCCAGTGAGATGGACCAGATTCAACGAATCTGCAACTTTGGCCCGCCATTTACCTTGGCGCACCATTATGGCCCGCCATCCATTGTGGACCGTCGAAAAAACGACTAAGTCCATTTTGGCCCGCCAAACGACGCGGCCTGCCGAAAAACGACTAAGTCCACAACGGGGAGCCAAAGTCGGCCATACAGGACCTTTATGTCCCGCAACAGCCAGAGACACATCTCGCCACGCAGGAGCTACACGCCCCGCCCAGAGCATGTCGGAGACCGAGTTTGGACCGCCCCAACGGGTTTGGTCCATCACACTACTTCGGTCATGGGACTTAGAAATTTTTCCATTATGGCCCTCTTGGACTTGGCGCATTTTTGGCCCGAGACGCATGACCAAACCGGCATGCAGGGCCAAACCAGGACCGCCCAAACGGGATCGGTCCATCACATCAATCTGGCCACTTGGAAGGAATCCGACAGGAATCTCACTCCCGCCAGAACATGGACCACCCTAACGGGTCGGTCCAACAGAGACATGTCAGACCAAAGCATGGACCACCCTAACGGGACAGGTCCATCGCATCATTTGGTCATCCCAAATCTGACATGGAGCACCACTCCTGTCCAGAGGCATCCACAAGCCTCAACAGACCGTCCAACCGGGCTTGGTCCACTCCACTACAGGAGCACCACTCCTGTTCAGAGGCCATACCTATGGACCTCTCATGGATCACCCAACCGGGATTGGTCCATCATATCAGGAAGGGGACAAACTGTCCTTGCGAAAGCAACCGTGCCTTCCATACTCCGCACAGCTGAATTACTGCACTGGACACCGTGGACATCTCTGGGAACCGTCGCCCCAGATCCACAAGACCAGGCCAATCCTACAGGATTTATGCGGACCGTTAACTAGGACCCGTGTGGACAAGCCTACTCGGAATAAGTATTTTTGTCTAGTTTTTTTTAACCAGACCTGGTTTTTTCTAGACTTATAACCAAAGAAATTGTTGTTCTCATTTAGCCTACTAACCAAAGGAATTGGCTTTGGGATCTCTTACTTATGATCTTACTTTCATTAATTCTCAATTGGAATTGTGATCTTTTTATTTCGATGTTTAACTTGAGCCTTATAAACTTTATTTTTTTACTTCATCGACCGAAGAAGCCTCATCAACCACCACACTGGAACCTCCAACACACAAAGTGCCCTCCAGATTTCGGCCGTTCGGTGCATGCACCGCGGGTCTGGATGCAGCGGCCCTACCGGGCAAGAGACAAAGCGGCATCCGGCCCTACCGGGTATCGGATCCTGGCACCCTACCGGGTTGGCCAGGGGCAGAGTCGGGACGGTGTTCGCAGGAGCTCACACTCCCGCCCAGAGGCATGTCAGAGACCGCTCACACGAGTTGGTTGACACCTCTAGTGGCTTGCTCTGTCGCCCGCACGCGTATGGCCACGCCATCCGTGCCGCTCATATACGCTGATAACTCAGCGTATACTTTGTCTACGCTGACCAATCAGCGTTCGCTCAGCACTTTGGAGGTGTGGCCCAGCGCTTACGAGCGATTCCATGCTTTGCGGTACCAGCTGTGATTCAGCTGCTGCATGCCGCGGCATTACGACGATTTTCACCGAGCTCGCTGGCAGCCACTTTCACCACAGCTTTTCCGCATTGGTTTTCTGTGTTGTTTTTGTTGGTTGCTTTATTACTTAAACAATAAAGGAGAGATATTTGCTCCCTTTTTGCTCTCTGCTTCTGTGTCATATCTGACAATGGTGCCGATCCATCTGATCCCTTTCTGTAATGAGGTTATTTATGTCCACGCTCTGTAATATATGGAACGATTAGAGTGATACCGGTATTTCTTGTTTACCGCTTCGTTGCAAGTACTTTCTGTGCGAAGTCAGACGCCGTACGCAACAGTTTTCCGTTTTATTCAGGTCAACACACTCTTTGCATAATTGATACAAGCAAAAGCAGCTCCAGCCGGGCAACAACATAATTATTGTTCCCGCGCGAAAAATAAATAATTATTGACATTTGTCTGTAAAAGACAGTGCAATCCCGATGCAACAAGACGATATCCATAATCCAGAATATTGGTAGAAAATAATTTACACTTGCTCCAGTATACTTTTAAACTCTAACTTGCCCCATACAGCGTACAGCACTCTCGATGACCAGGTGGTGTGTATCCTTGGACAGTAACCATCGATATTGCCGGAAAAAAATGACTGCAATAGTCCATCGTCAAAGAAAATTTCAGATTTCTTTGGTAAATTGTCGTACAGTTAAATTGTGTACTCTGTACAATTTTTTAAAAGTGCCATACTACGACTTTAACGGTCGGAATGAGCTCGAGAGCGCTGTTCTTTTCCGGCACTAGGCTGGGAAGCCTGCAAAATCACATTGACAGGGATAACGCCTTTCATATACGCCTTCATATACGAGTATGAATGAATGTAATTAGAATACGATCGTCAAAACTTTCAACAAGTACTAATAAAGCAGACCTGCCCAATATAAAGCTTTACTTAATTGGCAATATATAAAGCAAGCGAACTCTTCTCTGTATTTTACCGGCGAAGAATCGGCAACGTCCCTTTGGGATTTTACTTGTGGCCCGTTGTTCTCAGAATCTGTGGTCTGTTCAGCAGTTCCATGTCCATCATGTTTATCTTCCGACATTGAAGACGCACGACGATGCCACATGCGGTATGGCCAGCGCTTTCTTTTCTCATTGTCAACGTTTCCGGCATCCATACTTTTGCGGAAAAGCCTGGGCATGATACTAGGGCCATGCTCGTCGTCCGACACGGATGACTTTCGCCGGTTACCGCTGCCATACGGTGGCGGATGGATGTGGTAGATGTTCATCCCCTCAGAAATTTGTGGTACCCAACAGGACATGTTGTATGATATGGGACTTTACTAATGATTGTCGATAAGAGTGGACGGCGTAACTTCCTGTTTAGTTTGTTAGCGACTAGTGTACTCAAACGGTTGCTGAATTAACACTTTAATGACTTTGCTACAGATTACCGATTCCCTTTAAATAAATATCCAGGCTTGGTAAATGTAAATGATGCAATAACCAGCTAAATTTGCGATTTGCGATGTACTAATGTGTAGAGCTGCAGTAACACGGCACCGGAAATCTTAAAGCAGTGATATCATCCTATTCTATGCTCCTTAATTGCACATTGTCATAATTAGCAGAAAAGAATCTTATCAGTCTGACAGTCGCATGACAACCGTGGCAAAATCGGTGTTTGCAAACAATGCCATGCTCACATGCCGATCTCCATAAAACGAGGCACGCATAAAATGGTGATAATATGCGGTATGAATAAAAATTAATTATTAGTGACTGTCTTTTACGTTCATTATACGCATATGGTAATAAAATTCTATGAACTGAAATTATTGCGGATTTGTAGTGGGATGGTATTATGTAATATAAACGTGTTTACTTCTTCGGGTCAGAAGCATTGAGCACATGGTTGAATGGTGAAACGCTCCGCAATCCAATTTGTTCTCCTTTAATAATGATTATCAAACTCTAATGTGTTTGCGAAGATAAGGCACGATGGAAACGCTTGTGACATGCTGCAAATCGACGGCAGTAAACAAATAATTAAAGCAATCACAACACAGAACAAGTCTCGTGATGTTTTCGTGTAGTTGTAATTAATCAACACGCATATAAGCGAATAAATACGCAACACAAATATTATATTGTTATCCGAAAGCAAGAGAAAAGGAAGTGAAGTGAAGTGAAAGGGGCCAAAGGGGCCAAAGTGAAGTTGTTGAAGTTTTGCCAGAATTTGAGCGGGAAGATCGAGCAGCGGGCGCCCTATGCAAGAAAGAGAAGAGAGCACAAAACATGTAGAAGCTGGTCAACAATATGTTAGAACAAAATTCGTGGCAGAATTTTCCCTCATCACCATAACCTACTCCACGACGGCGTCGTGGAATACAGTACATAGACCCGATAAAATTTTACTCCCCCGCTATATCTTTGACAGACCCGTTTTGCAAATAAATGTTGGTTTGTTGGTTCCACTTTCACACATATCGTACAGATCTACGTGGGATCAACAAGAAAATTAAACCTTTTAGGGATGCGATGCAGTCTTATCTGACTCTCTTTTTCCGCATCTGCGGTCGTAAATAGACACGCTCTGCCGGCAGTCAACGAAGTTGGTGTTTGGCGCAATAAAAACCGATTAGATTCAGTACTCGTACCACGTAACCGCTGATGCCCTGCATCAGTCCAGATTACCCCGATGTGCATCAGAATGAACCCTTATAAAGTTATTAACCTTCAGCTAACCATTGCGTATGCGGCAAGAAAAAAACAGCATGAAGACTTCATTCGACAGTAAAAGTCAATGCCGACAGTTTACGCTCGAAAATTTTATAAATGCGCTGTAAAACATGTTTAGATTCAGAATACACATGAATGAATATGATTGATAATGAAAACTTCATTGAGTTTGGTATCCATACTCGCAAAATAAAAGCAAGAATTAAAAGTGGACATTGTAGCGGCAGTTTACCGCTGATGTTCTAACTAGAGCTCCGTTTGTGCAACATTCTTTAGCTTTTGGGAGGTCACAGGCTCACAGCGATGAAATTTCGACCCAATCCTCCTTAATCACACCAGTCGCTTGAACGCTTCTTTGATAGCGCACGATTGCGCTGCCAGCAAAACCGGATTTATGTCCAAAAATGCTTACGAAACGACTGTATTCGGAATAACAGTTTTGTTATCAGTTATGCCATTTTCCTGATGGTTTTCAAGTAATATGCACGCTTGCGGTCAAGTGTCGACGGTGTTAATGTTACGTTCGCTTATGCTTCGGTAATGTAAAAATTTTCTGTGTTTTTTAAGCTGAAATTTCATGTCTGAAAACGCTTTTCGTTTACGATTTCGATGACGACCGAGAATCAGCAATGAGCCAGGCTAACAGATATTTTTCCTGTGCTAGACGGCGTGGCCATTTTAACATCAATAACACGGTGATTGTCAATCTCGTTGGCGGTGAATATTATCTGGCGTACCTTCAGGATGTGGATGGCGATAACGTCTTTGTTGATTTTGATTGCACAAAAATTCCACCGTGGTGGGTACCATCCGACCGGGTGTACACGTACCAGCCGAGATTCGGGATAGATGATGACGGGCTGCCATGCAGTATATATGTGGCTATCCGAGAGGAAAACAGCGGACCGTATGTTTTCCGCCCGGCAAAACGATTGCACAGCTGTGACGATAAGTCATCGTACATGAGCTGTGTTTCTTTGGAGTACACGGATCCAAACGCGTTTCACTTCGTCCATCACTGGCAGATCACAAGATTTCTGCCTACAAATAACACTCATTTGTTTCGGCGCCCTAAGAAAATCGAGGAGAATCCCTTCATGAAGATAGTTTATCGCTCGAAGAAGTTAAAGTACCTCGCTAATATTGAAGAGCACCACATAACTGGGATTTTGGATGAAGGTTTTCGGGAAGGCCCGGCTCCGTATGGTTGGTTGGTAAGTTGTCAGTTGTGGCTACTAAATCTCTTTGGACTCCTGCAGTAATCACTGCAGCATCAGCATGCACTAGCATTTAATCATCTTCCGCTTGACGAATTTTTCAATTCTTCCACGGTGCTTCAACATACATATATGTTTTAAGGAACGAAGGACCTACAACCGATGGGATAAACTTTTTGTTCGTATCGATGCCGCGTCGATCACGTTTCTCATCCAGGATATTTGGTGTTTTCATGAGTTCAAGAACGGCATCCATGTATGCCGCACGAATTGCTGGAAGTCCGAAACCACCAGAAAAATCTCGTTGGCCATGAAGAATTGCATTCGTCGACACCACTATGGTCCAAAAACTGGAGGTCATGCAGTTCTTCTGCGCGTCGTAGGTAAGCGGTAAGCCCTGCTTTTACCGCTGAAAACATTTTTTACAGGAAAAAGATTTGTTGCAGAAAAAGATCAACCGCTTCTGTGTGATACGCCACCGGAGATTCTCTCAGAAATTCTCCTGTATTTAGATGTCCACTCGCAAGCGGCAGCCAAACGGTAAGCTGTATATGGTGAACAATGAATGGTGAATTTTTAGAAACAAACTATATGTAGCCACAAGATGCGACGTGGTTTCCATTACTTGGTCAAATTTCTCCACTAACAAATTTGAGTAGAAAAGACTTAATAAATGGATAAGCGGAATCCGGAACCACACTGTTTTACTTAGTCACGGGAAGCGATAATTTAAATCATTACATCTTGTAGAGTGAACACTCTGTGGAATCATTTACTGCCTGACCCAGCATCGGCCACATACGTTACCATCGAATTCACGCGGATCGGAGTTCCGCTGCCGGGGCAGCCGGGTACCGAAGGCTACCGTCTGGCATGCCTCCAACACCGCGCCGTCAGCCGGAAAACCAAAATTTTATCTCTTCTTCATATGGATCATCGTACAAACTGCAGGACCGCGCTAGTGGAATGCCTAACAGCAGTTATCAAGTGGAAAAAGCTAATTTTCTCCGCTATTTTCATCAAACAGTGCCGCGTGGCGCTGGAAAACTAGCCCACTCCTTATGTACGATGAAGAAGATGGTATATTTCGCAAAGCTATATTTCCGCACCTAAGACTACTAACGGTCTGTCGGTGCCTACGAATACGCCAGCTAGTGGTTGGTGTCACCATATTGAACTTACCGGTGTACACCTTTCACGTGCGAAATTTGACGAAGTGGGCTAAACCGCACGAACTCCTAATAGTTATTCCCACTCTGCAGTTTGGCAGCGAAGAATGCGAGGAAAGTTTGCGGTGTTTTAAGCGTGCGTTGGAACGTTACTGTCCACCCGTCGAAAACGCCGTCCGGGAGCGTCTAAGAAACCGGCATGATCACGAGGCGCGAGCAGTGCAGAATACGGGCCACGACGGAATCGAATGGAGTGGTTTAAGGCGATACCTCCAACTGTAGGCGCAGTCTGCCGAATGGTGCAATATCCGTAGTCGATGCTTAGAATACACGCTTATTTTATATTTATTTGATTTATAAACGCATTGCGAAAGAGAAATCCCATTTGCGTCTCTTTATGCATACACCGAGTTTTGCAGGTATGGAGTGGTGGACGCTGAAGACCAGGATGAGACAGCAGCATGGAATAACCTGGATCTGAACAGCTTTGACAACATACCTTTGGGCAATCTGCAGCTATCCCTTCTCGCTCATCTGAACCTGCGCTGATACCGTTCGTTATCAAAACGTGAAAGTGATTATAAGAAGGTTTGTGCGTATTGCCGCTGAATGCTGCCAGTAAGGCTCGTATTGCATGTTGCACTGGAATATCATCAGAACCAGCCATCTGTTATGAGCCGCGTCTGATCTTACTTTGAACGAATACGCTTGGATCCACCTGGCCTCGCGACGTTCTTTGTTACAAAATTACACGTATTATTTATTGACGAAGGAACTATTTGACTTACTGTTGTTAAGTTTTGTTTTCAGTGTTACCTGATACTTAATGAAAGGCGGTTAGCTCTTTATAACATTGTTAAAGCCTTTTTACTCTTTTCTATAGTTTTTTTTACCAGTTTGACTCTGCGCTCCAATCTCACGTTCTGCAGTTTCCTTTTGTGCGCTAGGGTTGTTCAAAGGATTA